TTCTTCTATCTTATTCTATCCTTAGGGGCTATAACATTATACCAAGGCTTAACACAAAGTTTCTACATGAGGCTTTGATACAAAGTTTCCATATACCAAGGCTCATTAGTACAAGGTTTCTATATGAGGCTTTGATACAAAGTTTCATGAAAACAGAGGTCGCACGTGGGTAGACCCACTACAAGGTTATATGAACAGGCACAATGTAAAGTCATATGAACATTATCAGAGATTTATCCACATGGATATCATGGAAACCACTTCAAGCCAGGGGCGCAGCAGCCCCCCCCCCCCCCGCAGTCCCAGCACCTCTGCCCAACACACAACCAGTGGAACTCACTGCCAGGGGATGTTGTGAAGGTCAAGTCTATAACTGAGTTCAAAAAAAGAACTAGACCAGTGTGACGGAGCAGGGAGCAGGGCGGATTTGACCTGGGAATGTAGCCTGGGAGTTACATTGAGCTACCTGAGCTGTAACCTGAGCCAGGAGGTGGGGTGGGAGAGGTGACACCTTCTGCCCAGGAGAGGGAACAAAGGAGAGGAGGAGCAGAGGGGAGGGGGGAGAGAGCTGCTGGAGGGTTTTGGGAGTTCTTCAGTTTTGGGCTGGGAGGTGCAACGCAGGGAACCCCAAGCTGGGGTCTAAGCTCTCTGCACTCCCCAAGAGGACTTGATTGAGGGGTCCTGGTTGTATCTACAAGCTCTGCTGTAGACTGTGTTCCTGTTATCCAATAAACCTTCCGCTTTACTGGCTGGCTGAGAGTCACGGTGAATCGCAGGAAGCCGGGGGTACAGGGCCCTGAGTTCCCCACACTCTGCGACAACCAGTTCCTGGAAGATAGGACCATCGATGGCTATTAGCCAGGACAGGCAGGGACACAACCCCATGCTCTGGGTGTCCCTAACCCTCTGCCTGCCAGGAGCTGGGAGTGGGTGTGACGAACTGGGACTGTTCTTACTGTGGTCTGTGAATGCTGACAGGGGAGTGTGGCTAGGATAGTCTGCATTGGGGGATGGGAGACTGACCGATGGAGAATACCTGAGCATGTAACATGAGAACCCAGGAAGGGGTTAGAGGCCAGGTGACACCTTTGCCCGGGAAACTGAACAAAGGCTGTGGGAGGGGTCACTGAAGGGAGAGTCTCAGGAGCAGGCTGGTGATGTGGCTGGGAGGGAGACAGGGCTCTGACCTCCCAGGGGGGCTAGGGTGCCCGAGGACCCCAAGTGGACCTAACTGAGGGGGTCCTGTTGTCTGTGTCTGCAAGACCTGTCTTGGACTGTATTCCTGTCATCTAAATAAACCTTCTGCTTTACTGGCTGGCTGAGAGTCATGGTGAATCGCAGGAAGCCGGGGGTGCAGGGCCCTGAGTCCCCCATACTCCGTGACAGTGGGCGACATTGTCTGTTCTCTCCCCATAGGGCTGACTCCAGGGTCCACGTGCAGCGGCTGCAGGAGGTGGAGCAGGAGATCGAGGCCACGGGCACCTACCAGCTGCTGGAGCCCGAGCTGATCTTTGGGGCCAAGCAGGCCTGGCGCAACGCCGCCCGCTGCATGGGCCGCATCCAGTGGAACAAGCTGCAGGTGGGGGGGGGTACCACTGCTGCCAGCTGGGTAGTACAGGGCAGTGCCCAGGACAGGGCCCCCAGAGCTCCCCCTCGCCCCCAGGGTTCCTGCTGCCCCCCAGGACAGGGCCCCCCCAGGGCTCCCCCTCGCCCCCAGGCAGGGACCCCCAGGGTTCCTGCTGCCCCCCAGGACAGGGCCCCCCCAGGGCTCCGCTCCTGCCCCAGCAGGGCCCCCTGCGGCTCCCGCTCCCAGGATCAGGGAAGAACAGGCACTTCCATGCCACTGACGGTGAGCGCTGGCCAGGGAGGACAGCGGGGCCTATGGGTTAGAGCTGGGGGATGTCGTGCAGAGGGGCTGCTGCTGTGCCGCTAATTGCTGCCCCCTGAAGGTGTTCGACGCCCGCGACTGCGCCAGCGTCCAGGAGATGTTCGGCTTCCTGTGCACCCACCTCCAGTACGCCACCAACCGAGGCAACCTCCGGTGAGATGCCCGCCTCCCCGGGCCCGTCCCCCATGGGGCCACCTGCCTCCC